AGTTAATCCGACGGCGAATATTAACATCTCAAATTTAATAAGAAAAGTAGACCCCTAAAGGTGTATTTGAGGTGATTTTTTAAAAGTGTTTTTAAAACTTATAATTTTTCATAAATACTTTAAAAAAAAATAGTGTTTATAATCGCCCTACCATCACCACTGCTATCGTCATTCACCATCGATTATTACTATTGTGGTCTACTCTCACCACCCACTACCATCGTCATCTCATTCTTATATTTATTACCACTATAATCATCATCCCACTACCACTGTCGCCCACTGTCAACACTTACCACCACGCATCGCCACCCATTACCATAACCCACCACCCACCCACCCATCGCTGTCACTCACTCGCACCACACTACTATCAACCATCACAACCACCCGTCATCTAAGCCTACCATCGTCACCGCTTACCACCGTCGTAGCCCTACCAACACCACTGTCAACCATCATCACTACTGTCACTTATGGATTCCATTATCACCATCGTCACCCAAAACTCACCATTACCATCAACGTTGTCACCCACATTTATCACCATCACTATGGTCGTCGCTATCAATTATAACAATCACCGTCTCCCACCACCAGTACTACCGCCCAATCAACACTACAACTGCTCACCCCCACTATAACTGATTCTTAAATTTCTTTCTCTTTCATCTATGTTTATAATTTAATTTTAGGTGTAAGTACAAATACATTTATTGTTGAATATTTTTTTTATTACTCTATACTTTTAAATACAGACAATAATTAATATATATCTATAGTAATCTTCGTACTCTCATGATTTGAGATATTTTTTTAGGTTTGCGTATATACCTATACATACTTTCAACTGGTAGTTAATGATTAGTGTCATGTAAGGCCTCACTTATGAATATTTAAACAAACAATATTTGTTTTGGATACATTACCATGTTACATGACTAATCACTCACAACCTCATATTTAATATATATATATAATATGACATATTTTAATAAATTTATCTGACGGTATAAAATAAATTCATCCAACAACCACTAACATAATTCTCAAAATGATTCACATTTCAACGTGCCTTCAGCCACGTGTGATACCTTGTGTGTGTGTGTGTGTGTGTATATATATATATATATAAATCATGCATTTATTTACAAAAAACATGTAGTTCTTTTCTTTTTCAAGTAGAAGAATTAAATCCTACTTTTGACAATTTATTTTTATGAAGTCCTAAATTATAACAATCATATGCTTTGTTTCAATTTTATCCTTTTCTTACAAATATCATTTATATTCTTATAAATAATCTTACAACCAATTGGAATTTAGTTAAAAACATTATTTTGTATCCTTAAAGAGTTAAAATATTGCATAACTTAATAGAACAGATGGAATCAAAATTTATATCAAAGAGTAAAAAGGTTGTTATATTTGATATTTTTCAGAATATACAAGAAAATATGACCTTGACTAATTACATTGAATTATATAATTTTTAGCAAAATTGCAATGGTGTTTTAATGACAACGGAAAAATTGGAACAAAATAACATTCATGAAATCTAGGAACAAATTATCAAAAGAATAATTTAATTGTCCTGATAGAAATGTAATAAAACTTAATGATTCATAATAAGGAAAAGTGTAATTTGTTGGTCATTTCCCCTATTTTCAATTGCAAACCAAGTAATGCGATGTTAGTGCATTTTTGGCTAGTTTTTTTTTTTATTTTTTTCAACCAAAATAATGTGGTTCTCCAAGTTAATGCCTCATAGGTTAGTTTCTTACATATATTTTCATTTATTGTAATTTTTATTAAAGAGAAAGTTTAATTCATAGTTTCAATTCAAGGTTTTATAATCGTGTATTCAAGTTATGTTTTTGTGAAAATTAAATTGGTGAAAAATGGAATTAGAAAATAAGGATGGTTTGCAAAATAATTTGACTTCGGCAACCTATTAAACATGTTTGATCTCCTTTCTTAGGTCTTAAATTTGTTATTATAAATGAATAAAAATTACTAGATTAGTCCCATTAATTTTTTTTTTCTAATGGGATTCAATCATTAAAGGGTCCTTATTCATTTGGAATTAAAATTGCAATTTTGCTTGATTTTTGTAATTAAAATTCTAAAAAAATTTTAAAATTGAGAGGAAAAGCTTCCCCAAGTCTTTTACCTACTAATTTTATTTATTTTATATATAAATAAAATTTAATAAATTAAGTTTTTTTAATTAATAAATTAAATTAAATTAATATTATTATTTCTCCATCAAATTACGCCGACGTAGCATAAGCCAACTTAGGTGTTGTTTGATAACCATTAGTTTTTATTATTATTTTTTTTGTTTTTGTTTTTATTTTATAGAAAATAAAAAAGCATGTGGTGTATATTTTTGTTTTTTTTTTTTAATTTTTCTGTTTTGAAAACAAGGTTAAAATATGAAAATATCAAAAAAGATGTTTTTGAAAACATCAAAAATTAAAACAAAAACAAAAAAACAAAATAGAATCATTTGCTTGAGTATAAAAGGCCCTCTCCTTGTTTCACCCATCTCTGTCAACTCTCTCTCAATGCCAACGACGAAGAAGAAGTTGAAGCCTTCGTCATCACCATCGCCAATCGCTGCGAAGGAGCTCTCAGATCCTCAAGCCCCATTACTCCATCTCTAATGTCAGATTTCACTCCATCTCCATCGAGCGCTCTCTGTACCTCCAAGTTCTAGATTTATGTATTTATATTGCATGTATATATATACATATATAGCCCTCTGTCTATGTATATATTGTTATATTTAAGTGTGTATGTGTGTGTGAGAGATAAAGAACGAGAAAGAGAGAGAGGTGGGTTTCAGGGGGGTTCGGGGGCGCTGAGCGGTTGTCGGTGGGGATGGGTTTCCAAGGGGTGATGGATTTTGGTGGTGAGTGATATTTCGGTTGGGTTTTGGTGGTAGCTGGGTGGCTGGCTGCGGTGGTTGTAGGTTTTGGGTGTGGGTGGTTGGTGATGGTGGTATTGGGGTATATATTTTTTGTATAATACCAAACATGATTTTTATTTTTGTTTTCATAATTTTTTAAGTGTAAATGACTACTAAATATGTTTTATATTTTTTATTTTTATAAAAAAATATAAAAATAAAAATATTACCAAATGCACCCTTAGACTTTGACAAACTAAAAGCAATTTCATCACTAATGTGCCGAGGGACAATGCTCATTTAAAAAATACAAATATATGGAGTGAAATTTTTCGATATCGGTATTGGCGATTATTATTTTGTATGGTAAAGGTGTAATTTTGAAAGAGGAAGTTACAACTGTTCATGGGCGGTCATGATCGATTACAAACATCCACGATCAATTATGAAAAATGCAATATTGATCTCAATATTTCATGATTGATCATACTTTTTGAAGTATAACTAAAAATAACTTGAACTTCAACCTTTTATTTTAATTACTCAAAATATATTTAAATATTATATTATCTATTTAAAAAAATATTTTTATAAGTTCACTCCAATCATACTCTCTATTTTAACTAACTATTTCTATTCACTTTCTATAATTTGAAAGAGATTGCAATATAGAGAGAGAATTTGGAGGGGTTGAATGACTCTCCAAATTTAAAGAACCATTTGGGTGAAATGAAAAAATGAGTGGGTTGGAAAATATTTTTAGTGTTTGCCTACATAAAATAACTAGAAAAGAAAAATAAAGAATGAGTTGAAGTTATTCTTACACTTTAAAAAAATTATAATAACCTTAAAAAATTATAATTATTCCATAACTAAATCGCGGAGATATGCCGATACCCGTGTAAGTTATATTTTTATACTAGTCATAATTCGGACCTGAAGACACGATAAAATATAAAATTTGAGTATCCAAAAAATCGATCCCACTATATTAAATTTTTTCAAAATATATTAACTACAAATTAAATAAATATTAAATAATTAAATATATTATAAAAATGATTAATGTAATATTTTTACGGAGTAAATATATAAATGATTAAATATGTGATAAAAATAAATGATGTGATTTAATATTTGAGTCCGACAAAAGAATGATGAGTGAGATGATGTGATTTGACATTTGAGTCTGATAAAAAAATGATGAATGAGATAAGTAATTGATGATAATTTTAAGAAAAAAAATATGAATGAAATAAAATACAAACAGAGTCCTATTTTATTATATAAAAAATATTCATTCAATATACCAAATACGAAAAAAGAAAAGCAGTTTCAGTTTTCCCCGCTTCCAATTCAAAAAACCGCTCTCTCTATCTCTCTGCCCCTTCTCTAAAAAGTAAAAACTCCACTTCTTTTTCCATGGAGGAAAGAGACACAGAGATTTAGAGAGAGAGAGAGAGAGAGGGGGGGGGGAGATATCTGTAATCTGTCTCGTATTACAGGAAAGACGAAAACTTCAATAATACTTCCAAACAAACGCCATTGATTTCAGTTGCCAGAATTCAGAGCTTTTTCAACACCTGTACCTCCTCCCTCTCCTCACTCTCATCTCCACACTTCCATTCGTCATTCATTCCATTGGCCATAACCTCGCAAACCCACTTTCCCATTCTCTCCTTCCTTCTAAACTCCACCGTTCACACTAGTAAAAAGAGACTCCATCTACTAAACCTCGGTTTACACAATAATTTCTCTTAACACACATACAAACAAANTCTAAACTCCACCGTTCACACTAGTAAAAAGAGACTCCATCTACTAAACCTCGGTTTACACAATAATTTCTCTTAACACACATACAAACAAACGATTTAAAGGCTACCGTGAATGGATTTTGCACAAATGTCACTCGGATCAGACCTTGTTATCACCGTTTCTTTGTTAAATTCAGACAAATTTCCACTTACCTTCTATTTATCACCCCCATTTCACGATTGCCCATTGTCACTATTCATTACTACCCACAAAGAAAGACCAGAAAGGAAACCCTATCTCCACCCCCCTCCCCTAGTGCTTGCTACTAATGGAGAAAACCGAGGCGTATGGTTTGGTGGCAGGTGGTGGTTTTGGCATCGGAGAAGGGATCAACTTTGTCACACTGCAGGGGAACAATAATGTTCATAAAGAAACCAATTGTGACCCGGACGAGTCGTCAGATCCCACCGAGTTCACTCCGGACCTTGTCGCCGCGACGAGTTTCGGTGCCCAGAGGAAGAAGAGGTTGCCTAGACAGAGGCGATCTTCCGTCAACGTCCTGGGTTTCCCATCCTCAAGCTCCCACGTGACACCTCCCATCCCTACACGTGTAAGCCTTTTTGCCCTATATATATATATATATTTGTCTTTCCTCGTGCCTTGTATTTTTTTAAGTAATTTCTTTTTCCTAGTCTTCTAACTCCGTCCTGAATTGAGTTGCACAGGTGGTCCGATTTGGGAAAGCTTTGTGGATTACTTTTTGTTTACACCTATGGCTCCTGTAACAGCTCCTTTTTTTTTTTTAAATTTCAACAAGACTGGTCTCCAATTATTTTTGCTCCTCTTTTTTTTTTCTTTGTCAAATTAAATTAGGATAAAAATGAGGGAGGGTGGAGGGTTTGCCCTACTTGTACATTTCGCCAAGATCAAGTGCTGTATTGGACTTTTATTTATATTGGTTGATTTTGGGGAATAAAGTACAATGAAGGCAGAAAATTGTTGGGAAAACTATGAAAATGGTGGCCATCATGGTCTCAAATCTTAGATAATTATTGTTGTCAAATTAAGGTTTATTGCACTACATGTATACCTCTGCAATCTTGGGGAAGTATGAAATATAGTACACCCAATTCACTTGTACGACCAATAAAGTCGGTACAAGGGAGAGGACATTGGGATTGTTTGTAACTTGGCCTGGGGTACATGTTTTTGAGAATTCTAGGAGAAATTAGACGTTACTTATTTAGGTCTACTAAGACTTCTGTTTTTCTCCTTTCTGGGAAAAAAAAAAAATTTTCTTTGTTCCCCTCTGGTTTATGTTTGGAGTCATCAAAGTAAACCGTGGTGAATTAGCATAAAAAGCTTAGCANACTTATTTAGGTCTACTAAGACTTCTGTTTTTCTCCTTTCTGGGAAAAAAAAAAAAATTTCTTTGTTCCCCTCTGGTTTATGTTTGGAGTCATCAAAGTAAACCGTGGTGAATTAGCATAAAAAGCTTAGAAATTGTAATTTAAAAGCAACCAAAAAAAGCATATTTGTTGATGTTGGATTTGAGAATTCTCCAAAACATAAACTTGCACAGGCAGTGGAGTAAGATGGAAAGCAGCAGCAGCAGAAAACCTTTGGAGTGGATTGATGGAAGCAAATCATGTGGTCCAAAGATGTTTGTGATTTGTGACGTGGAATGATTTTCTCATGATGAATATTTATCCATAAATTTGGCAAAAGAATGAATATGACATTAATTTCCAACGGGAACACGAAATTACTGTGACTGGAATAAGGAATTAGGTATGGATTAGTTATCCAATTTTTCATAGATATTAAATGGATCATTAGGCTGTCTGGTCATGAAGAGTTTGCTGGAGGGTGGCTATTTAAGTCTGTTGTGGCACTGTTGTGTATATGCATGTGGCTTGCATGATAACACAAACTCAATTTTACAAATCTCCTTACATTTTTGTCCTATGAACATGTTAAGTGGTTTGTGTGTGGATGCAGACTCCGGTGGCATCCTCTCTATTACATATAGGTTTTTTTTTTTGGTGTGGAGCAAAGGGGAGAACATTTAGAACTGATAAAAGTTAGGGAATGCACAAAGATCATTAGCAACATGTCATGACAGATGGAGATTTGTTATTTAACATAACATTTACATTGGTTTTGGATAATAAATAGTAATATATGTTTGAACACTGTTTTAAGTGATGTTTATTGTTTCTAACTTAACTTCACTTTGAAATATGAAGTAATATTTTGTTATAGTAGGCTGCCATTATGTTCTGTTATGAGGTAGACATATAAGGTAAAGGTAAAAAGGAACCTCCTAGTTTTTAATCTTTTTGGCTGAAATAAAAGGAAGTTTTTAACATACTTTTGTTTTGGGAATGTGAAACTTAGTATACTTATAGTTTGGAAACTTTGGTGCTTTTTTGAATAAAACTTGACTGCTTCAAAATTGTTGTCAAACTTTCTTTTACAAAGTGAATTGCATGAGGCATTTCTCCCATGAGTGTTTTGGAATTTCTATAGTTTGATGTCACATGTTATGTGAACTATCTTATTGTCTATGTTCGTCGCCTTTGTCGTGGACTATGGTATCAAGAACTCTTTAATGATGGACGAAATGTGCACAAGGAGTTAACGACAATTAAATATGAGAAGGAATTAAAACTGAATTAGGATTGAATTAAACCTTAACCAAGAATCAATTTAAAAATACAACACGAATGACTTTTAGCGGCGGTCAATAGAAAACTGCAGCCAATCTCACATAATAAGTAACTAGTGGCAACCATTATTCATTAAGAAACCACTACTAGATATAGTTGTGGCTTTCTTTGATTTGTTCAATTTTCACAGTAAAAGTAGGACAATAAACATGAATAGCGGTAGCTAGAAGAAACTGCCAAATTTTATTTTCTTTTGTTTTCCTTTTTTCTGTAAAATTTCCATGTGAGAGACACGGTGGCTTGCAAGTCTTTTGGGTAACTTGTCGGCCCTGTCATTTTCTAGTACCTGGATCATTTGTTTGAGGTCATGTTTTTGCAGGTTATTACCCAATTTAATGTTTTAATCGTTCTCTATTGTAGATTTTGTCCATGTAGGTTAAGTGCAATTCATTTACTATCAGCCTCAATCAAACATGCATTTAACCTGACATTTTCAATCCTCTGTCCTTTAGGTGACTGATCCAAGGAGGCTAAGATTTCTTTTTGAGAAGGAACTGAAGAACAGTGATGTAGGCTCCCTCAGGAGAATGATTCTCCCAAAGGTTTGCATATGAAACTTTTTCTTTCAGGATAATTATCTTATTGTCTGCTCGAATATCATATTTCTACATACGTTTTGATAATCAAAAGCTTCACCTGAACCGAGTTTTAACAGTATCTTGGAAAGCTGCAACTGTGATTCACTCGATTCAACTTTCAAGTATATCTGCATGTTGGTGAAATACTATTTCAAAGCTATTTCCTTTTGGTGTGTTTAATAACAGAAAGCAGCTGAGGCTTATCTCCCTGTTCTGCTGGCCAAAGAAGGGATGTTTATCAGTATGGATGATATGGATGGCCAGCATGTGTGGAACTTCAAGTTCAGGTTTGAGTTACATTTGTTCATCTTGATCACCAAAAGACAGCAGTCTATCTGGCAATGANTATCAGTATGGATGATATGGATGGCCAGCATGTGTGGAACTTCAAGTTCAGGTTTGTGTTACATTTGTTCATCTTGATCACCAAAAGACAGCAGTCTATCTGGCAATGACCTGGGCCTTGCATATTTACACTTATTGGAAAAGTGAACAAAGTAATGAAAATGATATTGAGATCAACAAGAGAGTCATTGGAATAACAGTTTGTCTTTGTCTGATATCCTAGCAAGCTGCAAATGAAACATAGATGCAGAAATGTCAGATAATAGTTTGTCTTTTGTTTACCCATTTTGAAATATTTTACCTATGCTACTCTAAAGCCCAGATGAGATATTGCTTTTGTCATGAACAAAATACGAAGTCAATCACTTGAAATGTGAACTTTATTTGGATAGGAAGATGAGTTGTTTGTATATGCAAATCATGATATGCTACTGTCGATTCATATTTCCCACTTCTATACAGATACTGGCCAAATAACAACAGCCGAATGTATGTACTTGAAAATACCGGTGCGATCTTCAGACACTTGTTTCCCTTTTTCATTGTTGTTTTAGGTTCTCTGATGGCAACACCAAATTTCCTTATTTTTGTGAATCTCTTTAGGGGAATTTGTTAACACACATGGCTTACGGCATGGAGATTATATCGTGGTGTATCAAGACAATCAAAACCAGGATTACGTATGCAGTGCTGTTCCATGTCTCTATAATTTTGTCAAGTTTCCTTTTATAGAGTTTTAGCAACTTTATTTTGTAATACTTTGTTGTTGATATCAATCAGGTCATTGAGGCTAGGAAACTTACAGCTCAAGATATATACACTAATTATGAAGCTCATGCTTCGTATGCTGATTATGCAAGGAATGCTGTCAATGACTACTTTCTTAACTATTCTGAGGTAAATAAATCCAGTTACTTTCCAGAAAATGTCCCCATAATGGACGATGTGAGCATGCCTTTCATTTATGATACCACCTTCTCAAATGACTCACCACTTGATTTTTTGGGCGGAACAATGAGCAACTACTCAAGGGCTGAACCACCCGCCAGCTTTGGATCTATTGAGAACCTGTCCATTGATGATTTCTATTAATCTTGTGGTGGTGTTGATGTATGAAATAGTAATCTCTAAAACTATTAGAGAGCATGTAATTTACATAATTTTATTACCATGTATGTATATAAAAAGTACCGGATGGCAAACGTGGTGAACTTCACGTTAATGTTGTCTAGACCTGGACAGATAAGAACTGCTAGTTATGGCGTCATAATCCCTGTAAATTAATTATGATGTCTGATGGTACACCCGAGTGGAAGTATCATAATCTATGATTTTTCCATATCTTTGAAGGGTGAATAAATCTAATCAAGCTTTGGTAGCATCTTTTTTGAAACATAAGCTTAGTTTGATGGCAATTAATATGTTGAATTTGAGAGTTCCATGAGATTATTGTTTCTGGTTCCTATTTACGACCTCCATATCCTGCCAGCAATAACAGTTGCTAATACCAAGTCTGATGTTTTCACTGTCTCAGAACATAGATCTAGTGTTGTTTGATTGAACCTGTATGCCAATGTATCTCTTAGTGATTTTTGTTTAGCTTTACTCTCAGTTGTTTGAGCTTTCTCAGGCATGGTTAAAATTTTGTTTCAGTCATGACATTTCAATGAAACATGATATGCAAGGTGGATTTGACGTTGCGACCTTTACTGACAATGCCCAGGCTGCCTGCACGCAATATGCGATTCAAGTGAAGGGAAATTTGGTCTTTGATGTGGTAGAAGCGTCCTTAGTTACCAGAAAAAAAACATTTTAAGAGAGAGAGAGAGAACCAGCGTTATCCCTGCATCCTCACTTTAATTGGCTGAATGAATATCACATGTCAACTGTATATGTAGGATGGAGCCAAGTATTAACCTCGATCAGTCCGTTACTTCTGATGCTTTCTCAAGGTGGGGACAAGGCATGATCCCACTATCAAAAAGAGAATTTATACCTATTCTAACCGAAAACTTCTTAACAATACAAAGGATAAAAGATAGCCCTTGGATATAGGAAACCAAAAATGGGCACAATCTTTGGATGCAAAAAAATACCTTTCAACTACCAAAAATGCCATTCAAGAAGCATCAGCTATTCTATGCTTATTGATCCTTTGATGAGGTACTGTCTCAGGTTCCGCAAATAAACTCTTCCAGTTGATTCTACGGCTTTGCAAGCTCAGTAGAAGAATGGGTTGGGGCAGCAACAGGAACACCACCGCCAGTGGTTCGCCTGGACAACATATTAAAAGCCCATTAGAAACTACCAAGTCAGCTTCCAACAAACAACTAAGCGCCTCTACATTACATACACATGCAGAGGCAGCCATGCACATATATGCTTGACAATGATCATAGATCCCCCATTGAGCCCCTGTGAGAGTTCCAATCATGACAATACCAAGGGGAAGACCACGTGTAAAGAGACCCCACACCCCAAGCTTGTTCACAGCCTGAACAATTGAAAAAATAAGGGGTAAAAACAAAGCATGGGATGAGTTGAAGGAAACCCGAGGCTCCAGTAAACAATGCAAAACTAGAGCACTTACATCACCAACAGTCGCTCCCTTAGCATTGTTGAGGAAAGAGACAAGATTGTCGGCAGGGTGAGACACAATAGCACAGAGAACACCGGCCACATATCCACCAGCAAAGCTCACTCCAAGTTGCAGAGCTTTGCTGCACTCTTCTTTGGGCTTAGGAATGGCATACTTGTAGATTAGTTCCACAATGGTCTCAAAAGATGCAAACTTCATCATTGTATCTGCGAAAAAAAAATGTCTCATTAAGATCCAAGAAACACCACTAGTAAAGATGTGCCAATACAAATGCACAAAATATAAACAAGAAACATATTTATTCAAAACATCTTTGCCATTCTCCATATGTACAACATTAAGGAAGCCTTTTTTGTCTTCTTAATAAGCAACAAACTTCTAAAAAGATAATTGAAAAGTACAATTTAAGCATACGAGGGAGGACAACACATCCAACCATAGATCCTTTATATTAATAAAGAAAAAAACACATCAAAACTCCCGACCACAACAACTCTACATTCCACTCGGCTATCTCCAGTCTGACATTATACATAAAAGCTGAATATATTGCCATGGTCACCGAAACTCAAAAATTGAACTCTATCCCATAAAAATCTCCAAGCTCAGTTTTCACTCAAAGACACAAGCATTTCTTTCTACCAAATAACTCAGAAATTAGTTAGAATTTCAGACATCCAAAGAACGATGGCTTTTTTATCCTTTCCAAAACCCCTGAGAACAGATTAGGGAAGCTAATACAAGTAAACTTATGTGATGTCAACTAAGTATACTGACAACCATAAAGGTGAAATTATCATTATACACAGAACACAGAAGCTTCTTTCATAGAGGCCATTAGTTACAAAAACCATCCTTTTGGAAATACTGCACTCATTTGACAAAAACGCATGTCCCAACATCTTCTGAATATGCTTGCCCCTTTTCCATTATTAATGTTCGGTATTAAAAGATGGAAAGACGATCTCAAAGGTAGAAAACTGAACACATCCATATCACAACAAACAAAACACATTAGGTAGGAGGTGTTCTTCATATTCAACAAATGTCAAAATTATTTCCTTCCACTAGTAAAAATGTTCGAATAAGTAAAACTTAGAGCAAGGCTGACCATGCGTTGTTTCTTTTATGCAAAAGCTGTGAAACACTGGTTTTTCACTTACATTATTTTCACAAGAATTATTCTGCATAATAAAGAAAGAAGAATAGAGGGAAATGAGAGTTTCACAAATAGCAACTGAAGCAAATAAAAGGACCAAAACATGCAATCAAGATATCTGATATCCTGTAACTATCAGATTGAGCTACATCAAAAAAACACAGAAAGTGTTCAACTGTCCCAACCCCCAAGGAAGATCCTAGGTAATGAGAAAGAAATGCATTTCACCGGAGGAGGATGACAAGCTTATTGCTTTAGATATTCATTTCACAACAAAATCATCAAGATGATAATTGGTTTATGAATGCTGCAAATCCGGAATGATCATAACAATAGCTTCACAGCCAATGTTGCAGCAGTTACTGCTGCAATAAGTAGATTACAACATATCAACAAGTGCTGCCAGAAACAAGGTTATGACCGTGTCTTTTGTGTATCGTGTATCAGTGGGTGTGGTAAGGGCCGAGTCGTATCGGACTCGGCCGATATTTTGAACCTTGGGTAAGATAAGCACAGACGCACAATGAAACAGGAATAGAATGTGAAAAGGGCAAACATTAGCTCACAGTCCACACATCTGAAACCACATATGCGTGTAACAAATAAAGAGTAGGACATAAATGTGTTGTGTGTGCACAGCTCATTTAACAATCATTACACTTGGAAGAAGATGACTAAAGAAAACAAGCTTGTAACATCTAAACTTTACCCATCCAGAAATCATGACCAAATCTTGGGAGATGATGCAACCAACGCAACCAAGTCTTACAACACTATCTAAATTGATAGCAATTTTAAGCAGAAAATATGATCAACAAAACCAGATGAAACCNTACCTGGGCCTTGCATATTTACACTTATTGGAAAAGTGAACAAAGTAATGAAAATGATATTGAGATCAACAAGAGAGTCATTGGAATAACAGTTTGTCTTTGTCTGATATCCTAGCAAGCTGCAAATGAAACATAGATGCAGAAATGTCAGATAATAGTTTGTCTTTTGTTTACCCATTTTGAAATATTTTACCTATGCTACTCTAAAGCCCAGATGAGATATTGCTTTTGTCATGAACAAAATACGAAGTCAATCACTTGAAATGTGAACTTTATTTGGATAGGAAGATGAGTTGTTTGTATATGCAAATCATGATATGCTACTGTCGATTCATATTTCCCACTTCTATACAGATACTGGCCAAATAACAACAGCCGAATGTATGTACTTGAAAATACCGGTGCGATCTTCAGACACTTGTTTCCCTTTTTCATTGTTGTTTTAGGTTCTCTGATGGCAACACCAAATTTCCTTATTTTTGTGAATCTCTTTAGGGGAATTTGTTAACACACATGGCTTACGGCATGGAGATTATATCGTGGTGTATCAAGACAATCAAAACCAGGATTACGTATGCAGTGCTGTTCCATGTCTCTATAATTTTGTCAAGTTTCCTTTTATAGAGTTTTAGCAACTTTATTTTGTAATACTTTGTTGTTGATATCAATCAGGTCATTGAGGCTAGGAAACTTACAGCTCAAGATATATACACTAATTATGAAGCTCATGCTTCGTATGCTGATTATGCAAGGAATGCTGTCAATGACTACTTTCTTAACTATTCTGAGGTAAATAAATCCAGTTACTTTCCAGAAAATGTCCCCATAATGGACGATGTGAGCATGCCTTTCATTTATGATACCACCTTCTCAAATGACTCACCACTTGATTTTTTGGGCGGAACAATGAGCAACTACTCAAGGGCTGAACCACCCGCCAGCTTTGGATCTATTGAGAACCTGTCCATTGATGATTTCTATTAATCTTGTGGTGGTGTTGATGTATGAAATAGTAATCTCTAAAACTATTAGAGAGCATGTAATTTACATAATTTTATTACCATGTATGTATATAAAAAGTACCGGATGGCAAACGTGGTGAACTTCACGTTAATGTTGTCTAGACCTGGACAGATAAGAACTGCTAGTTATGGCGTCATAATCCCTGTAAATTAATTATGATGTCTGATGGTACACCCGAGTGGAAGTATCATAATCTATGATTTTTCCATATCTTTGAAGGGTGAATAAATCTAATCAAGCTTTGGTAGCATCTTTTTTGAAACATAAGCTTAGTTTGATGGCAATTAATATGTTGAATTTGAGAGTTCCATGAGATTATTGTTTCTGGTTCCTATTTACGACCTCCATATCCTGCCAGCAATAACAGTTGCTAATACCAAGTCTGATGTTTTCACTGTCTCAGAACATAGATCTAGTGTTGTTTGATTGAACCTGTATGCCAATGTATCTCTTAGTGATTTTTGTTTAGCTTTACTCTCAGTTGTTTGAGCTTTCTCAGGCATGGTTAAAATTTTGTTTCAGTCATGACATTTCAATGAAACATGATATGCAAGGTGGATTTGACGTTGCGACCTTTACTGACAATGCCCAGGCTGCCTGCACGCAATATGCGATTCAAGTGAAGGGAAATTTGGTCTTTGATGTGGTAGAAGCGTCCTTAGTTACCAGAAAAAAAACATTTTAAGAGAGAGAGAGAGAGAGAACCAGCGTTATCCCTGCATCCTCACTTTAATTGGCTGAATGAATATCACATGTCAACTGTATATGTAGGATGGAGCCAAGTATTAACCTCGATCAGTCCGTTACTTCTGATGCTTTCTCAAGGTGGGGACAAGGCATGATCCCACTATCAAAAAGAGAATTTATACCTATTCTAACCGAAAACTTCTTAACAATACAAAGGATAAAAGATAGCCCTTGGATATAGGAAACCAAAAATGGGCACAATCTTTGGATGCAAAAAAATACCTTTCAACTACCAAAAATGCCATTCAAGAAGCATCAGCTATTCTATGCTTATTGATCCTTTGATGAGGTACTGTCTCAGGTTCCGCAAATAAACTCTTCCAGTTGATTCTACGGCTTTGCAAGCTCAGTAGAAGAATGGGTTGGGGCAGCAACAGGAACACCACCGCCAGTGGTTCGCCTGGACAACATATTAAAAGCCCATTAGAAACTACCAAGTCAGCTTCCAACAAACAACTAAGCGCCTCTACATTACATACACATGCAGAGGCAGCCATGCACATATATGCTTGACAATGATCATAGATCCCCCATTGAGCCCCTGTGAGAGTTCCAATCATGACAATACCAAGGGGAAGACCACGTGTAAAGAGACCCCACACCCCAAGCTTGTTCACAGCCTGAACAATTGAAAAAATAAGGGGTAAAAACAAAGCATGGGATGAGTTGAAGGAAACCCGAGGCTCCAGTAAACAATGCAAAACTAGAGCACTTACATCACCAACAGTCGCTCCCTTAGCATTGTTGAGGAAAGAGACAAGATTGTCGGCAGGGTGAGACACAATAGCACAGAGAACACCGGCCACATATCCACCAGCAAAGCTCACTCCAAGTTGCAGAGCTTTGCTGCACTCTTCTTTGGGCTTAGGAATGGCATACTTGTAGATTAGTTCCACAATGGTCTCAAAAGATGCAAACTTCATCATTGTATCTGCGAAAAAAAAATGTCTCATTAAGATCCAAGAAACACCACTAGTAAAGATGTGCCAATACAAATGCACAAAATATAAACAAGAAACATATTTATTCAAAACATCTTTGCCATTCTCCATATGTACAACATTAAGGAAGCCTTTTTTGTCTTCTTAATAAGCAACAAACTTCTAAAAAGATAATTGAAAAGTACAATTTAAGCATACGAGGGAGGACAACACATCCAACCATAGATCCTTTATATTAATAAAGAAAAAAACACATCAAAACTCCCGACCACAACAACTCTACATTCCACTCGGCTATCTCCAGTCTGACATTATACATAAAAGCTGAATATATTGCCATGGTCACCGAAACTCAAAAATTGAACTCTATCCCATAAAAATCTCCAAGCTCAGTTTTCACTCAAAGACACAAGCATTTCTTTCTACCAAATAACTCAGAAATTAGTTAGAATTTCAGACATCCAAAGAACGATGGCTTTTTTATCCTTTCCAAAACCCCTGAGAACAGATTAGGGAAGCTAATACAAGTAAACTTATGTGATGTCAACTAAGTATACTGACAACCATAAAGGTGAAATTATCATTATACACAGAACACAGAAGCTTCTTTCATAGAGGCCATTAGTTACAAAAACCATCCTTTTGGAAATACTGCACTCATTTGACAAAAACGCATGTCCCAACATCTTCTGAATATGCTTGCCCCTTTTCCATTATTAATGTTCGGTATTAAAAGATGGAAAGACGATCTCAAAGGTAGAAAACTGAACACATCCATATCACAACAAACAAAACACATTAGGTAGGAGGTGTTCTTCATATTCAACAAATGTCAAAATTATTTCCTTCCACTAGTAAAAATGTTCGAATAAGTAAAACTTAGAGCAAGGCTGACCATGCGTTGTTTCTTTTATGCAAAAGCTGTGAAACACTGGTTTTTCACTTACATTATTTTCACAAGAATTATTCTGCATAATAAAGAAAGAAGAATAGAGGGAAATGAGAGTTTCACAAATAGCAACTGAAGCAAATAAAAGGACCAAAACATGCAATCAAGATATCTGATATCCTGTAACTATCAGATTGAGCTACATCAAAAAAACACAGAAAGTGTTCAACTGTCCCAACCCCCAAGGAAGATCCTAGGTAATGAGAAAGAAATGCATTTCACCGGAGGAGGATGACAAGCTTATTGCTTTAGATATTCATTTCACAACAAAATCATCAAGATGATAATTGGTTTATGAATGCTGCAAATCCGGAATGATCATAACAATAGCTTCACAGCCAATGTTGCAGCAGTTACTGCTGCAATAAGTAGATTACAACATATCAACAAGTGCTGCCAGAAACAAGGTTATGACCGTGTCTTTTGTGTATCGTGTATCAGTGGGTGTGGTAAGGGCCGAGTCGTATCGGACTCGGCCGATATTTTGAACCTTGGGTAAGATAAGCACAGACGCACAATGAAACAGGAATAGAATGTGAAAAGGGCAAACATTAGCTCACAGTCCACACATCTGAAACCACATATGCGTGTAACAAATAAAGAGTAGGACATAAATGTGTTGTGTGTGCACAGCTCATTTAACAATCATTACACTTGGAAGAAGATGACTAAAGAAAACAAGCTTGTAACATCTAAACTTTACCCATCCAGAAATCATGACCAAATCTTGGGAGATGATGCAACCAACGCAACCAAGTCTTACAACACTATCTAAATTGATAGCAATTTTAAGCAGAAAATATGATCAACAAAACCAGATGAAACCAAAAAATATAGTACTACTGCAAACCATGAGCAAGATGTCACTAATCAACCACTAAATTGAATTACTAATGCAGGACGGAGAAGAGTTAAAACAAAAGCTCTTTTATGCATGAAGAAAGTTAAACCAAAAGCTGTGCCTATACTTGCACGGAATTTGACGTCCCCAAAGAGGAAACAGTCCCTTGTACAAGCTGCAAAGTTTTAACAAAGCTTAGAAAAACTCTCTTTTCCCCTCACATAAAAATGCTAAAACTGGCTAATTATGAAACCAAAGAAGTTAAACTGATGAACATACCCAAGAACACCTTCAGATTTTACAAACTTGGGAAGTCCGTCGGCCAATTCCCCAGCAAAACCAGGTTGAGTCTGAACACAGACTTCACAGCCTCGAAGGGGCAAAGAGCAACATCCGCAATCAGCTCAGCAGATGCAGAGCCAGCAAGGTAGATCAGAGTCTTGTATTTGGTTGCATACTCTGGTCCAACAAGGTCAAAATAATACTCCTTAAAGAATTCGTAGAATCCAAACTTGCAGGCACCTTGAACACTGTAACCAAGCAGAGTTGGCACCCATCCTCTGAAGAAGCCCTTGAGTTCCTGCTCCCTAAGCAACACTCCAAAACCAGACGAGATGCTCTTGTGCTTTTCAGGGTCAATCTAGTGAATTAAAGGTATCAGATTCAATTTACATGCTCCACTAATATGACACTGAGAATTAAAAACTACATGTACATTCAATTTTCAGTCACATGTTCCATAAGTCTGAACATAAATGAGTCACATATATTTATTAGATTATGAAAATTTCTGAGGAACGTGATTGAAATGAAAATTTTCAGCAAGAACAAATTCCGAGCTGACAATAATCTGAAAATCAAAAAGAAATGCAATGAGAAGAACATTGAGTCTGCAGCACATTAAATCTAAAATCGCATAAGAAATTCACTAGCTTATGTACAGATAATTGAAAAACGAAGATAGTTAATAAGATTTTAAGGATAGGTTTGTTTTGTTTAAAGAGAACAAAAACTAGACCAAATTATGTAAACAGAATAAAGCAAATCTAGTAAGTGTAGTACAAATATTTCCAGAGAAAGAGTCCTATCAAAAGATATTTCCATAGAAAGAGTCCTATCAAAAAAATATTTCAGGAGAAATATGCGAAAAAAATTAAGTGCAACACTAATCTAAGCTTAATTCAATATTAAGCTAATCAGTGTCTTCAAATTTATAAGAACCGAGTTATCCAAACTTTTCTAGAGAACTGGGATGTCCGGAACCGTTTCTAAAAGATACATAATCTACCACGAAATATTCACCACCAAGCCAAAAGAAGATCTGAAGCAAGAAAATGATAGAAAGCTATTCAAAGATCTGGAACTGGAAGATTCCAGCAAAATATTATCAAGTGAAAGGAAACAGAAAAAAGAGCAATAGAACTGCCAACAATCCAAACTTAATTCACGTAAAATGCACTAATGGAAAAAAACAAAATGATAAATTAAGTCAGCAATCACACCTAGGAATACTTTAACAAAGCAACAATCAGATCAAAGGCAACAAAACGCATAATTCCGATAATTTTTTTTTGCAGAAGATAGTAAAGCGGTGTCGAGTGGTCGGACCTGCATTGCATATTACATTTGACAAGGTCAAGAGGAGTGACGACCATGTGAGTGAGGCCACAGCTGAGAATTCCACCGACCGTACAGGCGGCGTAGTACTGCGGAGAGTACAACTCGATCTTTCGACGCTCTCTTGGAGCTGGTATTACCAAGCTCTTGTTCATACTTTCACCCGCGGACGATGGCGGCGAGGACCACAACTACAAGCTGGGGTTTGAATTTATCGTCGTTTTCTGCAGAAGTAGGGTCGTGCAAGAAGCAGCAGCAGAATAGTAGAGGAAGCTTGAGATAAGAGATTGGCAAGGGTTCTCAGAGAATGCCACGAGTGCACAGACACGCCGAAAATGAGAAAGAGAGACCGGAGGCGTGAAGTACAGAAAGAGAGGGCGGTTCAGGCGAAGGAAAGCAAAGCAATCAACCCCCACGAGACAACTTCTCTCTGTCCAAAGGGTTATTTCGTTTTCAGTGTCCAACGGCCACTGGGTCAGTATTACAGAACTGGCCTTGCAATGCGGATGAAATTACAATTATAGCAATGCTACGTGAACTTAAAAATTATATTGGATAATTTCAATCATTGATTTCACTGTGGGTTTCAATATTTACTAGGAACTATTATCTATTCAATGATTGAGATTATCAAGTCTAATTTTTAAGTTTATCTAACATTACTCTTACAATTATTCGAGAAATATTTAGAAAGTTAAAGAACTGAATCTAAAACTTTACTTTGATNTTCATCATTGTATCTGCGAAAAAAAAATGTCTCATTAAGATCCAAGAAACACCACTTGTAAAGATGTCTCATTAGTTCCACAGTGATTGATTTCACTGTGGGTTTCAATATTTACTAAGAACTATTATCTATTCAATGATTGAGATTATCAAGTCTAATTTTTAAGTCTATCTAACATTACTCTTACAATTATTTGAGAAATATTTAGAAAGTTAAAGAACTGAATCTAAAACTTTACTTTGGTTTTTTGGGAGGTTAATTGCATTAGAGGTCTTTAAAGTATGATATTTGTCTAATTTTGGTATCAATATTTCAATTACATAATTTTAATCCTTGAAGTATTTAATAATGTTTTTATATAGTCTCGCAAATAGATAACGTTTAGATTATTAATGATTTTTGGTCATAAATTTGTCATATAATGCTTAAATATGGACAAAAAATAATTTAAATAGTTATTAACCAAAATTTAGATAACTTTTAATAGAAAAAAGTGAAATATGGGTAGTTATTTGACCAAAATTTAGATAGATTATGATAAAAAAAATATGCAATTTGGATAGTTCTTTGACCAAAATTTAAATAAAAATTTAGTTAAAAGTTATCTAAATTATTTTTTTNGAGAAATATTTAGAAAGTTAAAGAACTGAATCTAAAACTTTACTTTGGTTTTTTGGGAGGTTAATTGCATTAGAGGTCTTTAAAGTATGATATTTGTCTAATTTTGGTATCAATATTTCAATTACATAATTTTAATCCTTGAAGTATTTAATAATGTTTTTATATAATCTCGCAAACAAATAACGTTTAGATTATTAATGATTTTTGGTCATAAATTTGTCATATAATGCTTAAATATGGACAAAAAATTATTTAAATAGTTATTAACCAAAATTTAGATAACTTTTAATAGAAAAAAGTGAAATATGGGTAGTTATTTGACCAAAATTTAGATAGATTATGATAAAAAAATATGCAATTTGGATAGTTCTTTGACCAAAATTTAAATAAAAATTTAGTTAAAAGTTATCTAAATTATTTTTTTAATCATATTTAAGTATCACATGATAAGTTTATAATAAATTTTTTTTAGTAATTTGTAGGTTGTCTACTTGAAAGACTATATAGAAACATATTTAATAACGCATGGATCAAAGTGATGTAATTAAAATATTANTTTAGATTATTAATGATTTTTGGTCATAAATTTGTCATATAATGCTTAAATATGGACAAAAAATAATTTAAATAGTTATTAACCAAAATTTAGATAACTTTTAATAGAAAAAAGTGAAATATGGGTAGTTATTTGACCAAAATTTAGATAGATTATGATAAAAAAAATATGCAATTTGGATAGTTCTTTGACCAAAATTTAAATAAAAATTTAGTTAAAAGTTATCTAAATTATTTTTTTAATCATATTTAAGTATCACATGATAAGTTTATAATAAATTTTTTTTAGTAATTTGTAGGTTGTCTATTTGAAAGACTATATAGAAATATATTTAATAACGTATGGATCAAAGTGATGTAATTAAAATATTAGGGATCAAANAAATATTAATAAAACAAATCTCATACTTTTGAGACCTACATTGTAATTAACCCTTTTTTTGGGTGCGAGTTAGCTTGTTTCCTCCCTCCACCACATTTACCTTCTCCTTTCTTCAATTTGATTCCTTCTTCCACAATCGTGTTCACAACATTTTTGACATAGCCCGAAATCCACCTACACATGGAAGCTTGGAATTTTGAGGAAATCATAAGTCTCCCATTTAATTTCAACAGAATTATATTTGTTAAAGGCAATATTTTCTTCTTCGATAATGTTAATACGATTGAATTGTCGTCTTGGATAGAAAGAAAAAAAAGAAGAAGAAAAACGAAGTCTTGAGTATGCATGATTCCAGGGAAACAGGAACATGCATCATGGGTTTATATTTCAAAATATACATGTATCTCCTTATGTGTATTTATAAAAAAAAAATGTTAATTACAAACACAGCCCAAGGAAAGGAAGATCCTTAAAAACTATTGGGTGGGTGTCGTTCTGTCATCTAAAATTACAATGGACTTTGCTCCGAAACAGGAATGGGGAGCAAATTAAGCTCTTCTAAATTGTGGGAATAGATTTAGCCTTGATACAAGTTGCACTGATGCATGCGGTTTGAATATGACAAAAACGTCTTTTTATACGACACAATGGAGCTCCTGCTCTGCTCAGTTGACTCTCAATAAACAAAAAAGTTTTCATACTTGTCAACCCATTTTAGTGTTCGGTTTTCTTTCACAGGTCGGCAGGTTCTTCTCTTCCCTGATCACAACAATACTTGTCCGATGGAGAACCAAAGAATATCTGGTTCATGGGGTTCAGGGAGATGGGATCTGCGGCATCTGCTACAACAATCTCACTGGCACTGCCTCAAGAAAACCCTCCTCGGTTAGTTCTCTCTCTCTCTCTCTGACACACACACAACACATAAGGCACTAGTTCGTTATTATCTCAAAGCAAAATAATGGGGAAAAAAAAAAGGTTTAAGAGTTATTCCTATGAATTTTCTGCAAAAAATCAGTCACTTTATATTTATAAAGGTAGAATATTTGCAGATGTGGACGAGAAAGTGAAGACCATGTTAAAACTAATAGAACAAGACAGCAATTCTTTAGAAGGATCCGAGATTTATTACCAGAGAAGACCGGAATTCAGACGTCTGTTTGAAGAGCTCAGCCAGTCTTACTGGTCTTTTGCTCGAAAATTTGACCAGTTGAAGTCTAAATCAACGCATGGTCCCAGTCCAGCACTTTTGTCTTCTGTTTCTAGGCCAAGAGAAATCCAAAATCAAACAAAAGGTATTCAAAGCTTTGATGACTCCAGCCTCATGGCTCGTTACTCCTATTCCCAATCATTTGCTGGAGATCCTGATGATGAGTATGATATTGCTAGCTCCAAATCCCTAAATAAATTACCCCTGGAATTGATGCCGACTGAACTGCATAACACGAGTTCAGAGCATCAAAAGTCGAAAAGTTTTCCCAATAAAGATGATTTTGCTAAGAAGTTGAATGGCTCTAAGTTAGATCGGAACATGGCTGGAGATTGGCCACCAGGTATTGTTGATTGCGAGATACCCTGGTCTGAACTGAAGATTCAAGTTATGAACCTCATGGAGGAGAATTTGCGGCAGCAGGAAGAGTTGGTGAGGAGAAATAATAATAAGCGAGAAATCATTAAAGAGCTTCAGTTCCAGATGCGTCTAGTAATGGGTGAGAACAGGGCACTCCCGGGTTGTCTCAGATGTTCAAAAATTCATGTGAAGCATAAACCGTCTCAGATATCAAGATTGAAATCGCTGATTATGAGAAGGCTTTGGGTAGATTCTCCATGACATGAGTCAACGACAATGTTTGTTGACAATACGACAGCTTTTCTTCTTACATCTAGCATCTATTCCAAATTCCTGAGAAAGCTTTGGGTAGATTCTCCATTACAAGTTTTCTGTTGTCTTGATGCATTTTTCCCCTTTTCTTATTCTTCCAAACTGTACAATCAAGAAACAAATGACTCACATTGCTTTCTTGAATGAATTAGCCTCACCACCACCATATTTTCCAGTCAGCAACTTCTATGATGTAAGTGAAAAATGAGCAATAATTTACAGTTCAAAATCTGCTCAAGCTTTTACAAGTATCACCAGTAATCCCCGCAGGAACATAAACCATCCCTAAAATGATGAAACCGTTTTGAATCTCTTACCACAATTTCTCGATTTGCAATCTTCGCAATCAATTTAATTGTTGTATGACAGTCACCACAAATCCTAAGATTCTTAATAACCTGTATTGTTGTACCGGGAACAGAATTTATAACTCCAAAGGCTACAGCCAACTTCTCACTATGAAATCTTAACATCATTCCCTTCTCTTCCTCGTCAACATCATGAAGAACTGATGTCATATTGGGTACATAGCCAGCTTCCTGCAACTTCACAGAAATTTCTTCCAAATATGCATAAATCTTGTCTCGTTGAGGATGTTCCCCATCTCCGACTAAGAATACATGAACTCTACCTTTTAATTCAACCAAACTGAATCCAGCTGGTTTAACTAGTCCATAATTTTTCATAAATATTCTCATCCTTTCCACATCTTCCCACCTTCCAGCATCGGCGTATATGTTGGAAAGCAAGACATAATACCCACAATTATTTGGATCTAATTCAAACAATTTCCTTGCAGAAATCTCCCCGAGCTCCACATTCTTGTGTGTTCTACATGCAGCAAGAAGAGAACCCCAAACCACAAAATCAGGCCTCACCTTCATTTTCTGGATCAAATCATAAGCCTTGTTGAGAAAACCCGCACGCCCAAGAAGATCGACCATGCAACCATAATGCTCCACCCCAGGTTCAATATTAAATTTGTGTTCCATGGCTTGGAACCAATGCCATCCTTCATCCAACAAACCAGCATGGCTACAAGCTGCTAGAACTGACACAAAAGTTATATAATTTGGTTTCACCCCAGCACGATTCATGTCATAGAAAACATCCAGAGCTTCTCTGGCATGGCCATGCATTCCATAACCGGCAATCATGGCCGTCCATGACTTCACATTCTTCTCCTTCATGCGAGCAAATGCCCTCCTCGCCATCCATGCTCTCCCACATTTGCAATACATGTCAATAATTGACGTACCCACATATACATTCTCCTCCAACCCCATCTTTACAACCTACAGAAAGAATCAGTAAAGGAAGCATTAAAACTTTACGCACAATGGGTTTATTTAAGCATGAATTTGAAAGGATGCAATAGGGTGATAAATTAGGATAAAAACGCTTGGCTATTATATAAACTCTATAACAGATTAATATGCAACTGACCAGTCAATTGCAATAACGACTACTTTACAGATTCATGGCACAAAGTCACCAGAGAGCAAACTCGAGAGTACCTGATCATGTATACACTTCCCCAATTGCAGAGCTCCTGAATGTGCACAGGCCAACAACACAGCAGACAAAGTCACGGCATTATAATCAACATCTCTATCTCGAACCATGCCATAAAACAGTTTCACTGCCTCATCCGACAACCCATGTTGCGCACACACTGCAATCATTGAATTCCAAGAAACTACATCTTTCTCAGTCATCTCATCAAACACCTTCCTAGACAGACCCACCTCACCATACTTGGCATAAGCATCCATTAGAGTATTCCCAACACCAACATTTTCCTCAAACCCCCTTTTTATCACAAACCCATGAACTCCTTCGGTAGTACCCTTTACAGAAACACGAGAACAAGCTGATAGAATTGAAACCATGGCAACCGAATCGATATACGCTTCCTTCTCCACCTCACTCTGACTCTCACAGTCACTGTCACTCTCGTCAATCAAGAACTCTTTGAAAAGCAATAAAGCTTCATGGGAATGATCGGTTTGGACATATCCAGTGATCATTGAAGTCCAAGACACAACGTTTCTTAGAGGAATTTCATCGAACATTGTTCTTGCGTCATTTAAGTTGCCACACTTCGAGTACATATCAATGAGAGCAGAAGACACAAAAAGGTCTGATTCGAAGCCAAAGACCAAAGCTTGTTGGTGGGCTTGCTTACCCGAATTGAGATCGAATAAGGCCGAGCATGATTTGATGGCACAAGGGAAGGTCGAACGGTTTGGTTTGAGAGAGAGCTTTCGCATGTACGAGAAAGACCTGAGGGCTTCGACTGAGTCTCCATTCCGAGCCAACTCGGCGATGACTGAATTCCAGGACGAAACATTGGTTTTGTCCACGTACTTGTTGAACAAGGTAGTGAGGATGGGATTGGTTGAATACTGATGCGTATAGAGCCAGGAATAAACTGTGGTTAGTCCTGACTTCGTAACTGAAACCTTCATTCATTCGTTTTGGTTTCTCGTTATTTTCTGCTCCTTTTCGCTAGCATATAAATAAATTTCTCGGATTCGATCAATTTTCTAAATTTCAAAATTTTGTCAGGTTACATTGCTGTTTCTAGGAGACCTTTTTTTTCAAGGGTCAGGGTCAAGTGTTCAGACAAATTTAACTATTATTCTCATTTTTAGTTAAAGATAAGTTATGCACGTCGAGAATAAAATATTNTCCTTTTCGCTAGCATATAAATAAATTTCTCGGATTCGATCAATTTTCTAAATTTCGAAATTTTGTCAGGTGACATTGCTGTTTCTAGGAGACTTTTTTTTTCAAGGGTCAGGTCAAGTGTTCAGACAAATTTAACTATTATTCTCATTTTTAGTTAAAAATAAGTTATGCACGTCGAAAATAAAATATTTAACTGTCATAGACTTCTCGTTCGAAACTCACTTGCCCCGTCATTAGCATAATGAGCCCATCATATTGTTAAAAGGAGGGTGGGGTTTTTTTTTCTTTTTTTTCACTCTATCTAAAACATATCATTTTAAATATAGCCTACTTCCACATGGGAAAAAATGTTATCTAGCTTGCGTGACTTGATCTAAAATTATGTCAGAGTATGAATAATTCTCTAGCCAGTCGTCACATTAAGGATAATGTCGGTTGAGCTTGTGAACTTCTAAGAAAATGGTATGAGGAAAAAGGGTATGGGTCTTGTGGTTGAAATGAGTTGGGTAAAGTGATTTTCCTGTATGCTTGATCTATTAAATGAGACACATTTCCAGATGGACATTCCTTTCCTTTCAAGCATGAAATTAGTCTCTCATACACACAATTTTGAAGTTTTGCCAAGCAGCAATAATGAAAATTGGACAGACAACAATGGCCCAGAGAATCAAAAAGAACAAAACAATTGATACAATGTTGTCATAGGCTGATAGAAAGGCACAACGCGGAGGGAAAGTTCCAAAAGAAGCAGTAGAAGACATACAAGTCTGAGGCTGCTTACATGTAAAATGAACTTGTTCAGTCAACATTGGTTACAAACAAAAAATATAACCCCGCACCCAATATCGCAATGCCGCCGTCAAACTTTGCTGAACTGGACAAACTATTTCCCACAAACTCGCCAGAGCTTGGAATCGGTGCAGATGCTTCTAACCTGGGAGGAACTGCCGAACTTGGAGGCTGTTGGGTACTTGGGGAAGGAAAGAATGAGGAAATGTTGGGTGCGGTTACATATGGTAAAACCGCCGGAGACGCTGAGAGTGTAGGCACACTTTCTGCAAACAGGCAATTTAGATCAGAAAAGAAGATCATCATGCAGACGATAGGCAAAAACTTAACAGTGGTGGCCGCCATGAAGACCTGACAATTTCAGTTCAAGTGATGGAGAGATGTGGTGGAGAAGATTGGGTGAACTGGTAGGTGGGATAAGAGGGTTGTTTTTGTGTGATTTGTTTGGTAGTTATATTATCAAATGTCACGGGGTAGACAGTGGGAGTTTTACGTCTGTTGTCTTTTAGTTTTGTCCTTTTTTTTATTTTGTCCCTTGATGTGTCTCGTGTTGTCGTAACTATAAGACAGTCAATTCTGAATTCATGAACGCAATAGGTACTGTGCAATGGCAAAACAACAATGGAATTCACTGTCGTCTTGGTTGTAGTGGGGGTTCCCAGAGTACTAGTGAAAGTGGAGTGACACCATTGCTTACATCTATCAAGAAGAAAGAAGAAACCATATAAGAGCCCCTAACCTGGGGTGACCAGAAATACTACCTTGGTAAGTGAATTCACCAACCTTGATCAAAATGGGCGACAAGAAAATTATCTCTGTATCAACTAGATCAAGGGGTATGAGGGTTTTTACTCAGCCAATGGAGTTGGAAGTCGATTCTAAAATGTCTCCTGGCAGCTTTCCAGTTTACATCCTTAGAAGTGAGAGCAAGGAAGGGCGTGCCATAGTAAAGAAACGTTCAATGACCGATAGTCTCGTCTTACGATGCGTTGAATTCAGGGTGCATGAAGTAACAAGCCTACCAGTTACGACACGCAATGCCAATTCTTTTACTCAAACAATTTTCTTGGTTGTCCTATAAAGAGAACAGAGAAGAAAAGGAACACAGCTGTATTTCCCAGCAACAAGTTATTAAACTCTCAAAGTGGGTAATACACATCCCACTCTAGAACAACACAACTAGTCAATGCTACAAATCAAAAGAATCAACCGAGGCCAAGACCCAACTCCAGCATCAATTCTCTTTTCTCTGGAGTGAAGTAAGCTGGCAATAAATATAACAGAAGTTACAAAAGAGCAAAAGCAGCACCACGTTATGTGATACCAAGAGCTGCAGGATACAGTTTAAATTCCTGTGTTTCTATGATGACAGTTTGCAGCCAGTAATTATCCACTCATTTTCCATATCCCTGGTTTCAAATGATGGATCTCATATATGCTTGCTAGAGAAGCCTAAGGTGTGAAGTATCATTCAATCTCTTTATCTGCCAACCCATTTTCCATGAATGTTGCAACACTGTCACCGAAGAATCTTCTATGCAAATCTTATGCGAGACTACAGGGCTGCAACCAAGGAGGCCAGTGAGAAGACACTTAATTGGCACCGAGTGAGTGAACACACCAATAAACGAGGAGACAAAGGAAGAGGCTCTCCTGACATTTATTTCATGAATGGAGCCTTGGTTAGAAGGTTCCCGAGGGGACATTTCGTCATCAGCCTCATGATCTCCAGTTGTACTCATGAACTGCAGCTTGCTCTTACCAGATTTTTTCCTAGGAATTCCTTGCCGGTGCCTGTGAAGCAGATCCCAATGGGCTGGGAGAGACTGTCCATCCCTGTCATGAATCGAGTTTGTATGGGTGTGAGAAATTCGGTGTGTAAAACCCTGGCTCTCGTTAGGATCTGGTATGGAGAAATCAGTTCTCAGTTTTTCTGGCAATCCCATAACTGTTCCGTTTAGGAACTGAACCATTCGGAATTCTACCTGTCTCAGGGATTCTCCTGATGGAGCAGAGAAATCAGGTTGCAATCTGTCCATTAAGCTCAAAATTTCAGGTGTGTAAATTTCTGAACGGTGGCAACCCTCCCAATGCCCCTGACTCAGCTCAACAAGTGCATCTGAGGATTGTATCTGTTCCTCCGAAAAATCCATCTCCTGCATGATTTAATGTGCAGACATCTTGTTTAATCGAAGTTAAAAAGCAATTTGAAGTTTACAACTGCAAATATTTATCATGCCACATCAAATAACAGGCCCCACCCACTATCCTTTTAACAGCTGTACCAAAAGGAGAAATTAAAAGGCAATATTGAATGGCATCGTCAACAAATGACTAGTTTCAATAACTTAGTTATCTGCTAAGTAGCCATCTGATATCTACAAAGGTACACATCTGTAACAATCAGATCCTTCACATGATCACATCCTGAAAGAAGTAAGTAAAGCCACAGTGTCCACAAGTGATAGCTCTAATTATGAAGGAAGATGGAAAACAAAACTGCAAAAATGAAAACTCATACCAGAGATTCCATCTACTGGATACAAATAAAGGAAAGATTCCCTGCCTTAAAGAATCCAACTTATTAAGTTGGAAGTAAACAAAAATGGAATTGTTAGTAAGGTTAATTTTGTCGCTTACAAGCCTAAACTTTACATTTGCCTGCACAACAGCAATTTTCTGAAGGCAAACCAGAGGCGGATTTGAAAGTAAGGGTTCAGTAGTGCAGAAAAAGTGAGAAAATAGCAAAACGGTTTCAATAAATAATCTCTAGAAGTTTCTAAGTTCTAACTTCTAAGTCTCAGCCAAGAAAAATAGAACTAACCAACTAAAACAGGAAACAATGTTGTCCCAGGATAAATACCCCATTTGATTGTTTCTTGGATTACTACTTCGGATCAATATCTTCATGGCATACAGATCAGCAATAGACATATACATTCAGATATTAAGAGACAGAAGATAAAATCAGCCTCCGTGGTTATGTTTAATGAACCCTTCTCTAGATCTCTTGATCATGTAGAGATACGAAACTCAAGTACCCATCTTTAAAGAGGCATGCATATACACATTATAAATGACGTTCTTGGCCTCTTGTAGCCAAAGCACAGAGCAAGATTGGAAGCAGAACCACATGAATGTGATTGCCAAAATACAGAGAGCGTGGGAGCGCTTATAGGCATGTGGGGACATACATTTTTCTGGTCTTAAAGCATTGGCCGAAGTCAACTTCTGTGTACTACAGAACTCCATGTTCATGGGCCGCCAGAATTGTCACAGTCAATTGGTATTTCTATTTTGGGAAATTGTCCAATTGATATCTCATTTGTCAGAGACAGAAGAGGTTGTCATATATCTCTCATGTACAAGCTTTATTGCCTCAAATTTGTAAGTGAAAGTATACAAATTTGGTGCTAAGTAAAAAAGTACACATATTTCTAAACAAGCAGGGAGCTACAAAATGTATCTTGAAGGTCTTGGGTTTGAATCTCTATATACTCATAACATTTTAACATGCCCTCACAAGATGTTCTCATTCATATATAATTGCTTCTCATGGGACAAGTACAAAACTTTGCTTGTGAATTCTCAAAATGTTTGATCTGAGCTCTGACAATGAGCAACCGTGGGTTCCAATGTGAAGCCAGCATACACCCACCATGATAGTGCGGCAGGTTAGCATGCACCCATGTTCCAATGGGGCATTGGACCCTGCAATCATGGAGTAGGAAGGGAAACGACCTACCATTGAGGTGACTCTCATAAGATTAAAAGCTTATGTCACTTCAGGAGTTATGAGATCAAATATGAAGACGATGTCTTGTGAAGGTTTGATAATATATCGGAAGTGATAATCTCAACATTTATATAATGGAAAACGGAAAATAATTGCTTATAAGGATATCATCATATCATGATGTGCTTTAAGAATGCATATTGTTCTCAATTGATCTACTACTATCAAATCACCTTCGTCAATTTTCCCAGATGCTCATGAACTGTAAGCCTTACACCAAATAAAAACACACAGATTTTTAAAGTCGCTCAGAAACAAGGTCTCCACATGCGGAGTCAATGCTGGGTACATCACCTGAGGCCCCACTGGCAGGAGTCTTGTGCTATAAACAACAATTTCTTTACTAGAAAAGAAGAACGAAGGAATACAAATTGACTAATTTACCTGGCATACAGAAATAGCAGTTGCTCGAGCCCGATCCAATGGCGAGGTATAAACATTGTTGAATATAACTCCTTGTGACTTCAAGAAAACCGCCAAAGCTCTCGCTTGCCGCTTCCCATTCGGCGTCAGTGCCGATTCAGGGCACCTCCCAGCAATCAAATCAGGCCTCAGATTCATGTGGCACTCCCCGTGACAAATCAAATACACCTCCGTCACCGTCCGATCCTCGTCCACCCCTTCCGACGAGAAACTCCGTGGGAATTGCGGAGACAATACATGGTACGGGTCCCACACCTTGATCGATGGCCCGATTCGCGGAGTCCCGAGAGACGACAACTGAGGGGACAGCGGCGATGCTGAGGCGTGGCAAGGTAACATTTCGGGTTCTTGTTGTAAGACCTTCTTAACCAAATTGTCATCACTCAGTTCTCTTCTCTGGTTTTCGACATTATCATCATCTTCATCAGCTTCCTCATCATCATCATCTTCTTCTTCTTGGGATACTTGTGCGGACTGTGAAGCACCCATTTAGAGCTGAAATCTTACTCAGATCTCTCCGATCTACGCATATTTCAATAGCAAATTCAATGATCTTGAATTTAAGTAATACGGTTGAACAATTGTGACTGTGACACAGTATAAACAAAGGTTAGTGAAAACAATGAAGCTTGAAAAATGGGTATTTGGAATTGGATCGGTAGTCTTTGCTGTCAGTATGAATGGAGATGAGTCAGATCTGGAGGGCGTAGGGAATAGATCTGGACGGTAGCGTTATTTCTCTCTCTCTCTGTAATCTCTCTCATATTTGTCTGCCTGTTCGTGTCTGTATGTGGTTATTTCTGTCGGATGGACCGACGACCGAATCTAATTAAAACTGGAAGAGATTCATTCGCCCATGTTTACAGCTTCCTGCTTATTTGTGATGGGGCGATGTTTGTGCGTCCGGTAAAGGCCCATCACTGTTTTAGGAGTAAAGTAGTGTTATTCAAGTTGATAATTTGATGATGACTAAAAAAATGGATAATTTGATTATGAGTTCTTTGAAAGTAGGTATATCTAATTAAAATTTTTTGGTAAAAAGTATAAAGAACAAGATATTTTGAAAAAAAAATACATAGAGGAGTTACAAATACATAAATGCTCATTTTAAGGTTATTTAATTCAAAATTTTTTATTTTTAATGTACCTTGATTTATGTATATTTTTGTTTTGGAAAGTGATTTTGTTTTCAAATTATATTTAATGCATCTTAATTCAAGCGATTTTTTTTTTTGGAAAATAATTTTATTTTTAAATTAATTTCATATCCGAATAATGTAATAGTGTAACAAATATACTGTAACAAAAACATTGTTCAGTAATTTTGTGTATATAATAACAAATTCAAAATGGAGATGAACTATTTTGAATGAAATTATATGAAACTATATGTTTGACAAAATGTAATAGTATAATATTTTTGTGTAATTAACTTGTTACACTATTATACTATTCGGATATTAAATTAATTTAAAAATAAAATTACTTTTCAAAAAAAAAAAACATGAATCAGTGCATTAAAATATAATTCAAATTTTAGATAAGAGATTTAACAATAAGTATATACATATTTATATATATAGCACATGAATCAATGTATGTATATATATATAAATAACGCATGACTCAATGTGTGTGTATATATATATATGTGTGTGTGTGTGTGTTTGTTTGAATTTTAAAATTTGTATATATATATATATATATATATATATATATTAAAGTTCTCTTATAAAATTATGAGATGTTTAATGTACCACTTTCCAAATAAAAGTGGTTCATTAAATATACATGAATTAATAGAGGGCAAAAATATTATAAAAAAATAAGTAAAATTCAAATAATGTATTTAGATACAAATAAGTATCAAAATTAATAACTTAATTACCCAACATTTTTTTCTATGTATTTTTTTACAATTAAATCTAATTGGGTGTATCTCATTCCAATATTTCCTTTGATTATTCCTGTTTTATATGCACTTGTGAATTACTGGAGACGTACTTCACCATACTTGTAATTGAATGGAGCTTATGGAGTAGGATTTGTATATGCCACCCTCAAAATCATCACAATTGAATTTAAAATACACAAATAATCTAAGACCTTAAATTTCATTATGAAATAAGATTCAGAGATTTCAAAGAAGAGTAGTAATTAAGAATTTTAACAAAATATCTAATAAAATTTATTTTGAAAAGTTACACCAAGATTATTCGAGTTATGACTATCTAGCCGTGAGATAACTCGGACGAAACTAGTTGGCCCGACCAAAACATATGTACAAGATTTGGTTTTCGGTCTTTTATAAGCTCAATAATTATTTTGTAGATATCAGAGGAAAAACAAAATTGAATTTTTGCCTTGGTCTATGTGCATTCTCTGAAAATGAAACTTTTATATTTTCCTTTGTCATGGTGTTAGCTTCCGGCCAAAACTTGTTGGGGTTCGGTAGGATAAGCAGATTCAGGGGTGGGCTGAGACAAGGTGGCCCAGAAAGACAAAAGGGGGTAGGTTGGGCCTGGATCAATATAGTTTAGCTTATGAGCTAGCCCATTTTAAAAAACTCTACTTCCCTTGAGCCTTACATCGATCTGGTTTCGACTAGACTAATAAGAATCAGATTGTATTATATAATCATCATGATCAGTAAATCACTCTAAGAAATTAACAAATTTTGTGTATCAATCTGTCGTTATTTCCATTTTGGGGCTGTTTGAGCTTGAGTTTTTCTCCACCTACAATATCTAATCAAAATTATAAGTTATAATGGTTGATGAGACATTTCTGAAAATTAACAAGGAGTCGATACGTGTCCTCAACGTGAGGAACGTGGGTGCTCTCTCGAGTGACATGTGTCCTTGGCATGAGCGATCCTCAGCTCTGTCTATGAGTGACACATGACCTTGAGGCGTAAAGGTCCCCTAGACATCGCATAGATTGACACGTGTCCTCGACTTGTATTACCTAAGACTTTCTGTGATTGACGTGTGTCCTTGGCATTGTCAAACCCAAAGCATTGCCATGGTGACACGTGTCCTCGGCGTGCCTAACACCTCGAGGTCCCTTACTAGACACGTCACCTCGTATCCATAACCCCCGAGATATGTATTGCAGGATTGACGATTATCGTTACTTAGAGTCGAAATTGGTCAGTAATGATTGACAAAGCACATAATTGTGAACCAATGGACAATTGTGCCCTTACGCATGCACAACCACCACAAGAAAACATTAAATGATTATTTAGAAGGATGAGACATATTTATTGTTCGATAGACTTTGGGAGGAGAGCATTAAATACTTAAGGATCTGAGCATTAAATGCAGAGACTCCTTTTTACATGACAAAAGAGACACTTTGTCCAAGGACTGTACTCCACATGTCGTTTTTCCAATCGGCCATTGAGAGACTTCCTTTCCGAGGGACTCATTTGTTAGCAATGATTACTTTTATGGAAGTATAAATAGTTCTCATAAATTTGAAACAAATGTATACACACTCTCATATAAGCAATAACACAATGAATTCCTATCCCTTTCTCACATATTGACTTGATCATCGGAGGTGTGAGGGATCGACCTCCCCATTACCGGGGATATACCTCCCTCCAAGAGCAATCCTCCCCATTACCGGGGATATCCCGCTCTCCATCAAAGGATTTCGGCTGACCTGCGGGGCAAACCCCCACAGTAGCCTTTACCTCTGTCCCACATCGGGGAAAGAGTCGTCTCCCCACCCCCATATAAGCCGAAGCACCATATGAGAGCAGTACCCAAGTAGTCTCATATGGTGCTTCGGCTTATATGGGGGTGGGGAGACGACTCTTTCCCCGATGTGGGACAGAGGTAAAGGCTACTGTGGGGGTTTGCCCCGCAGGTCAGCCGAAATCCTTTGATGGAGAGCGGGATATCCCCGGTAATGGGGAGGATTGCTCTTGGAGGGAGGTATATCCCCGGTAATGGGAAGGTCGATCCCTCACAGGAGGGGTCATGCTGAAAAACACTTCAACGCCCTTCTAACATTCTTTTTTGACTAACAAAGTTCATTTCGATACGCTAGGATCATTTGGATAGCTAGACAAGTAATTCATCATCACTCCTTACATCATCTCTCACATCCATTTGCCACATGACCTTCAACTTTCCAAATAAAACTCGTATTCACCAGAGGAGAAATCTGTCTATTCATTTATTGTGTAAGAATCACCGCACATAATGTTTAAAAATCAAGTTACAATTTTTGAGCGTTTAACTTACAATTTAAAAGTGTCTAAATTAAAACTCTAAAAGTTATGTTTAATTATAAAATGTTGTTATAGGTCACAATAAATATAATTTTTAAAAATTAAATTATATTTTTTTATAAATAAAATTACAATTGATTGAAATTATTCACGATACAATCTCAAACCTGAAGACATTAAGTTTGCAAGGTTGAGTTCATCACCAGCTTGCGCTCGAGATATTGAGTTGCTTTGTAAGTTTGTGTGCGCTAAGCCAGGAGAGTTGGTTCTTAAGAAATCAGCTTTGGCCGTGTCTCAAACTAACTTTAGAGAGCTAGCCATACCCATACATAGAGAACATGATCGATCGATCACTGATTCCACATGTCGGACATGCCTACTGTCAAGCCCTAAGCCCTCCAACTTCAATTCTATCATACAACTTGGTGTATTTTTTTGGCATTTCATGGAGATATACCCGACCATGGCCATTTGATTAGTACGTGCCTTGATAATCAGTTGCATGTGTGCCACGCGCGCGTGTGTGTGCGTGTTATCCAAGTTATCATCAATCAAACACCACCATGCAATTATAGAATCACGTGAAGGGAGAGGACAGAGTTATCAGCTAGCTATACATACAGCTATATAATTACTGTGCTCCCTCCACTGTGTACACTTCAAGCTTGAGGCTTCAGGCAATTTGAAATTTAAATTTACGGTTGGTGCGCAGTACCTCACAATTCGAATTCGTAAATCCCAAAATCAATAAGCTCATTAAATAAGACTATATATCTAAGTCATCTACCATACAATTTGGACATAATATACTAATGAATTTTTGGTCTAATGGTATTTTTTTTCTTGTAAAGATTTTATCTTTTTAAGGTTAAGGATTCAAGTCTCCTTCCTTTTTTTCTTGCTTCACCTCAAAAAAAATAAAAAAATAGACATAATATAAATTGATTAAGACAGGATTTATTGTCGAAAACCAAGAGGCGTAGACAATTTTAAGTTTGAGGGTCAAACTNAAAAAAATAGACATAATATAAATTGATTAAGACAGGATTTATTGTCGAAAACCAAGAGGCGTAGACAATTTTAAGTTTGAGGGTCAAACTTGGAGTGCCAAAAGGCTAAAAATAAAATCGTGTCAAAGACTCAAATGCATGACTAATCTGTCAATTTGCTTAAAATTTGGGGGAATCTGTCTGATTTTAAAGACGGAGATGAGGGAGGGACAGATAGAGTGGGCGTTGAACTACCGAAATACTGAAAAAGAGATATATGAGAGAGTGTAATTGGGGGGTAGGTGCAGTGAATGGACATTAAGGAGAAAGTCACGAGATACTTGGGTTTCTACTTATTATATTTATTCCCAACCCAAGGAAGATTAGTCAGCCTTGATCTGTTTGAAAACTGGTCCTCAGCCACAAACCTTGATATGTAGTTGATAGTTGATACGCTAGGGTTCTCCATCCCTTAACCCCCTCCCCCTGTGTTGTTGGTAGAAGGGAAAACAGGGGAAGAAAAGTTGGATGGAAAAAAAAAAAAATAAAGGGATAAGTTAGATT